AGCAGGGAGAGATGTGGATGTGTGAGGACCTCCTCCTTCCTGGGTGTCAAATCCTGGCTGTGCAAACAGTGAGGAAAGAAGGACCTATCCTAGGTACAACAAACATCAGCCAGGTACCAGCGCTATGGGCTGAACCAATTATCAGAACCTGTGGCTTTGTGATGGATTATTTTTGTAAGTGGCAAATACACATGAAAAACTTCGTAAGGCTTTCTTTTTATTATAAATTTAATTGTAACATATTTATGTTATAAATAACACCTATTCTTATGGCTTCACCTTTACTGATATAGTTAACAATTCTGTAAAACTGGGAGTATCCCAGAAAATGCAGGACTTGTGTCCTCTCACAAAATCCACTCAGAGAAGAGACAGAAAGCAGCTCTAGCAGATGGCTTTAGCCAGCCCTCCGTCTCCTGAATGGCCTCCACTGTGGGGCCCTGGCTGCAAGTCTTTGATTCACAGGCTGTGAGCAGCACAGACACACACCAGCCACCCTTTGGAGGACAAATGATGTAAGAAGGAGCGGAACTTTACCTCTAGTAACTGAAAGCTTGTCTTTAAGGGTTGTTATAAGAATTAAAGGAACTAATATTTATAAGCACTTAAAACAGTGCTAACTACATAGAGCTATGTAAATTTTTAAACAAATAAAGAAAAAGTATTGATATTGTATTTATTTACTTTCTGCAGTACTGGGGATCAAACCCAGGGCCTCATGTATGCTAGGCAAGCACTACCACTGAGCTACATCCTCAGCCCTTTTTATTTTGAGACAAGGTCTTGCTAAGTTGCCCATCCTGGCCTCAAACTCATGATCCTCCTGCTTCCACCTCCCAAGTACCTGGGGTTACAGACATGTTCCACTGCGTCCAACTAGTAACAACATTTTAAATGCTTTAGTTGGGCACAACTTTTTTTTCATGCTAGGATTGAACCCAGGACCTCCTGCAGGTTGGCACACATTCTAGCACTAAGCTACATCTGCAGTCCTCTAAAAGCATGTTTAATAAAAATCTTTTGTAACCCCAAAGACTTAAAGTTGACAAGGAAACTTGTCTTTGGCTTCGAGGCTCCCAGCCCAGAGGAGAGAAGTAGCCCAGCATTCCAAACATGGGGCTGGAGGAGGTTTTTAACAGAGGACCAGCCACCATCTGGGTGACAGTCTGCCTTATAGGTTCTTTGATATTTGTGTAGCTTGCCAAGTGTCCTAGATAGGCTGCCTTTCACTGAATTCCCCTTGCTAGCTTGATGTGAAGTTTAATTACGACTCTCTAGTCACTGTGCCTGGTGAACATTTAAGTAAAAGAAAGCTTGAGATTAATCAAGATCTATATGTAATTTTGAATGCTTACCAGAAAAAAAGATTAACTATGGAAAGTGAAGGATGGGATAATTTGCTTGACTGAAGTAACCATTTCACTATATATATGTATATCAAAATATTAGGTTGTACACCTTCAATGTATACAATAAAAATAGGTTAAAATAAGATATAGGCTATTTGAACAATGGATATTTCATGACAAGAAAGATTTATTAATTTGGGTTCGTGATAATACTATTGATTATTTTTCAAATCCTTATCTTTTATTAATACACTTTTAAATATGTATGAATGAAATGACATGATATCTGGGATTTGCTTCAAATATGGGAGTGGGTATGGATGAAACAAGATTGGCTTCATTGATCATGTTACAGCTGAATGATGAGAATACAGGGGTTAATGATATTAATGTCTACTTTTGTATATACCTAACTTTTGTATACAGGTTAACCATCTCTAATCCAAACATTTGAAACTTTAAGGATCTTCTTTCTGGCAAAGTTCAGATTTTACAGTGTTCTAGATTTCAGATTTTTAGATTACGACAGCTCAGTCAGTTAAATTCATGCAAATATCCCAAGATCCAAAACACTCTGAAATCTGAAACACTTCTAGTCCTGAGTATTTTGAGTAAAGGATACTTAATCTGTATTTCAAATTCTCCATAATTTGAAAAAAAATTTTTTGGTTATTTTTAAGAGGAAATAAAAGCAAGGACAGGCTAGAAGAGCCCAGGCGTTCTAAGAGGAAAATAGCCAAAGCAAACAAAGAATCAGCTGCCGACATTGCCCCACATGACAGCTTTGAAGAACTCAGGAAACAAGGAGAACCTCCAGTGGATCTCTAGGCGATGATCACTACGCAATGAAAACTAAAGGAACAAATGTGGATAAAGGGTAAAAGAGAAAGAAAAACTGATATAGTTTCCATAACCAAGAAGAACATATGTTCCATCAGGGTTATATCACCCTTTCGAGCTTACTTCCTTCCGAACACATCCACAGAATTACTGGGGTCCCCCCTCACCCCCAAACACACACACTCACACCAGATAATTTCACTCTTCTCTGCACAGATTCCAGAGAGGTATCCTGGAGACAGACATCAAAGGAATACGAGCTGGCAGCCCACAACAGTTCACACTGTCAGGGGAGTGCAGGGAACCACATGAAAAGCAGAGAATTCACAGGGTGTTTTATTATTATTATTATTATTTTTTAAAGAGCTCAGAAATGTCTCTCGTTTTAGTTTTAGTTTAAGGACAGCTACCTCTGGGGAAATGGCTTTGAAGTCACATAGCCCAGAGCAGCATTTAGCAGCGGGCCAGCCAGGGAAGAAAAAATGCTGCACCCAGCGGAAAAAACAAGGATCCACGCTGGCTTCTGGGCTGGTCTCTCGTCACTAAATAATAACCCAGAAGATTTATGTTTAGTATAAAGACATGAAGGAAAGAAAAGGAATTGCTGCTAGATATAAATAGTGTAGCTGAGACCAGATTTTAATAGTGTAGCTGAGACCAGGCTAGATGTGAAATTGCCCTGCTGGGCAGAAGCAGCAGCACATAGAACTGAAGTGACAGAGACCCTGGAAGAACCCCACTAGTGCTCCCTGATTTTGAGGGACAGACGCTAGAGGACCAGACTGGCCTGGGAGGAAGAGCAGGCGCTTAACTTGATCTATCTCACTCCTCTAGAAAATAATATTTGAAAAGCATGGGATGGAAAGTCCCTAAGTAGTGATATAGCATCTATAGGTCAGCAGAAAGAGCTTGCCCTGATGTGACAAACACATGTGTGGCCACAGTCAAAGTTTATAGCTGGCATGAAGGCTGAGCCAAAGAAAAAGCCCCAGCCAGGGATTTAGCTCAGTGATTTCGCCACCTGCTGCACAAGCACAAGGACCCAAGTTCGATCCCCGGTACCAAAAAAAGAAAGAAAAGAGAAAAAGCCCCAAGCACATACTGCCCCTGTCTCAGCAGCTCACATAGAGAAAAAAGAGAACACAGACACTCCTTACCAGTATGGTTCTTCCCCACTACCATGGAGATACAGAAGAGCTGAAACAGTGACATAAATTTATATTAACAAAGCTAAGATCTGAAAGGAGAGTCTGTTGGCAACAAGGCTGAGAGGAGAACCAAGCAGAAAGTACATGCCCTGTCTGTGGGCAAAACCAGGACCTGACAAAACTTTATTTATTTAAGGACAAATAAACAGTGGATAGTATGAAGCTGCCAAAAATGGTTTGCAACACAACAGCAAAATGTTGTGTTTAAGACACAAGGAGTAGACCACTGGATACAGAAGAAAAATTTAGAAAGTGTACAACTTTGCTTGTTTGTAGGTCAACTTTTTAAAAACATGCAAATAAAAGGAGGAACTCTAAGGAAAAAGTAAAAATGCAGGGGCTGGAGGCTGTGTCTCAGTGTAGAGTACTTGGGTAGCACTGTAAGACCTGGGTTCAATGCCCAGCACCTCAAAACACAAACAAAAAACAAACACAACAGAACAAATTCTTGAGAGGAATAATAAGAGGAAAAGACATCATTGTACTGAAAAAGAAGATAAAATTGAGAACAGAACAAATGAAAGGAATACCAAAACTAAAGGCATAATAGAATTTCTGACACAGAAATCTTCTCCTAGTCATTTATCCTAAGAAAACAACCAAGGGCATGCACAAAATGTATATAAAAACAAGTATTTAAAAGCACTGATTATTATATCAATGTTTGGAGCTAGCCTCAGTTTCCCATAGTAGAGAAATATTAACTAAACTATGGTGTGTGTGAATATATATATATATATATATATATATATATATATATATATATTAGGAATATTATATAGGTGAGATCATCTTTCAGGAGAATATATTCCTATATGGAATCATACTCAAAATACACTCTAAACTTATGGGTACATACAAAAAAGATAAGGTTTTCTTTGTGAAGTAAGAACATCAATTACCTCTAGGTAACAGCATCTACAAATGACTTTTCCATATATATAATTTTCTACAGTCACCCAATATTTTTTCTAAAAAATAAAAAATCCCAATTAATTTTTTGTTTAAAAAAAGGAAAGAAAGTCTGGGACTACTTCACTGTGTAACAGGTCTGCTGAAAATCAATTCTGCTGAGGTCAAAGACAGCTTCCCTCATGAGGACTGACTGAGACCAATCCCCTCGCTGCTCAGGATTGGCTCCTTACAGCTTGTCTCATTTGACAAAAGCCCAGGGGACTTTTCAGAACCCTTAAAAACAGGATTCCATGGTACAGCCATAAATCCACAGCACGTGTTTGCCTCCTTGGATTTACTGCAGGGTAGGCAAGCACTAGACCTCTTCTTCCCTTTCCTCCACCAACATACTTCACTGTTTTAAAATAACCTGTCAATTTCTAAAGGTAAATATTAGGGTTAGCTTCTTCTCAGGCATCATAATTCTCTCTTAACTAAAATGTTTGTGGATCTAAAATCTCTCAACTGAGGTATTTGTCCTACATGAAGTTACCCAGTGAATAATTGACTCCCAGCTGTATTAATTATCCAAGTTCAAGTACTGTCAAGAAAAGCCACAGACAGAAAATGAAAATTCCACAGAGATCTACTGGCCAGGGGTGCTGAGGTCACAATGGGAAGGCAGTGGTGGTGAACCTATGGCACGTGTGCCTCAGCAGGCTGTTTGTATCACTGAAAGCTCTAAAAGGTTTGCCATCACTGTCCTAAAGGATTTCCAGGCAAAAATTCTTGGGTAAGGTGTCTCCCCCACCCACAAGTCTGCTCTCCACAACTTATATATCTCCTCCTAAGGTACTCTCTCTAGCCTTCAGACATTGAAAAGTAACAATACCACATCATTAAATCATAGACCTTTCTTCAAAAGAACATTACTAACAAATTTTAAATTATTATCCCCTACAGAATCCATAACTGCCAGTCCTATTTTAAGGACAGAAAACAATGACGTTACAAAAGAAAATCGGAAATTCGTAACAGTCACAAAATTTGAAAGGAACTTTAAAATTCCTATCAGTGAATATCATATCAAAAGAAGAACAGATAAGCAAAATGTACTTTATGCATACAATGGAATATTACCCAGCCTTAAAAGAGAAGAAAACTCTGACATATGCTAAACACCGTGGATATACCTTTGAAGACACTGTGCTACGTGAAATAAACCAGACACAGAAAGATGGATATTACATGATTTCACTTACACAATGTTCTTAGAGGAGTTAAATTCACACCAACAGAAACTAGATTAGTGGTTGCCCAGGACTACAGGAAAGAGAAAAATTGTAAGTCAACTCAGTTCAACAATTCTTCCATTAGAGCCCCCCACACACACTCTCTCTCTCTCTCACACACACACACACACACACACACACACGTATATAACATTTATATTTTTAAATATATTTAAATATCACCGGGATACATAACTTGTTTAAGCTTCCATAAAGAGAGCTTCAGCTCCAACTATCCAACTATGTAACTCATGTTCTTATTCATATTCACCCCAAACTCCATGGTGATCAAATATACTTCCAACTGCAAAGCTTAAAGTTTATACAGATATTCCCTGTACCTGGGCTACCTCCAAAAGTTTTTTTCCCATAAGCAGCAAAGGCTTGGCTTTGCATTCATGTGAAAATAGTAGCTTTCAGGGCCAGGGACTTAGCTCAGTGGCACAGTGCCTGCCTCGAAAGTGCAAGGTCCCGAGTTCAATCCCTGATACAAAAAAAGAAAAAAAATAGTAGCTTTCCTCACCTGTTTTTTCCTTGGACCAGAAATCCTGCTTTGAGCAATAGGTGGGCTCCTTTGGTTAAACAGATGGCAAAGAACCAAAAGCATGGTAGATTTGTCTGTTACAAATAGCCAAAAATGTTCACAGCCTTTTTTTTTTTTGTATTAAATTCTTTTATTGGTACATTGTAGGTATACAACACAATTACATTTCTCATTGGGAATGGTACCTTTACATAATGCATCTTGGTTCTTAACTTTTCCCCATTCCTAGCCCTCCCTTCATGCCCTCCACCCTTCCCTATTTACAAAGACTTTATTTCCATTTTTTCCATTTCTCATCATTTTTCCTTTCCCTTCTTTCCTTTCCCCTGCCCCTCCCACTACCCCTACCCCTTTGGACCTTTTCTTCCTATTACAGCCTTTTTTTCTTCCCTCTCTGGCAAATTATCCAGTTCTGAAAAAGTTCCTGGGCAAACACGCAAGCCATTTGCTACGATGAGAGTGGGGAAGGAAACCTCTTCTCTCATTTTCATCTCAAAAATACCAATCTTTCTGAGTTCGATCCCCAGTACCAAAAAAAAACACAACAAAACCACCAATGTTTGTTTGGGGATTCCCAGTTAGTTCCTATTCTTCACTCTTAGAAATGAAACCAATAGAAAAATCTAGAAAGCTTGGGTGGAGATCAAAAAAATTTTAAATTGTGGCCATTGAGGTCAGTGTTTTCTTTCAGGCGAGGGCCATGCTGGGGGAAAAAAATGTGAAAACCAGCAAATCATCTACCAACTGTGAAAAACATCAGGAGGAGAAAACTGGGTGTAATATAGTAATGGATTTTTCTAAAATGGAGTCAAGTGTCCAAAGGGCTCACCAGAGAAGAGCTCTAGGAATGGTTGTCTCTATAGGCAACAACAAGCCAGTCATTTGAATGGAAAATTACAGGCATTTTTCTTTAAAGTGTCTCAGTCTGGGGTGGGGACTCACACCTCTAATCTCAGTACTTGGGAGGCTGAGGCAGGAGGATCACTGCAAGTTAAGAGGCCAGCCTGGGCTACACAGTGAGTTCAAGGCCAGCCTGAACGACATAGAAAGACCCTGTCTCAAAATAAAACCCTAACTAAATTTTTTAAAAGTTAAATGGTTTATTTAACTCAAACCTGAGGTCCTGTCCCTGTGACAAGACCTATACTCTGTCACCACCCTTGCCCATGCCCTCATTAGCCTCCCAGGCTAGTCTTTCCCCTTCTAATTCCTCCAACAAAATTGTGCCACAGTAATTTTCTTTAAATGCTACAACCAGCATCTCATACCTCTACTCAAAACTTTTCAATGGCTGCTTAAATCATCCCACAGTTAGCATAAACTTTCTTGCCTGTTTTCAAGAGTCTCCATAACCCTGGGGACAAACAGGGCCCTTATACATGTCACTTGGCTAATACAATATTTTAAATCTGAATTGGTTGACAACACTTAGACATCAGGAGACTTCACATCTTGTACGGATCTTCAGAAGACTCTGCACTCGCGCATGGCTTCTCCCTGGAGAAGAATGCTGTCACCAGGGTGCCCCCAGCCCACCACTTTCTATCATCTCCCGACTGGCACTTACACCTGGCTTACACAGGACAGACGTGAGACTAAAGAAACTGCTTTGTAGTCCTCTGTCTCCACATAGGTTAGAAAATAGAAGATTCACTAAAAGGGAAGTCTGCTTCCAGAAAAATGGAAAGACAGCATGTTTCTTTTGGAAGAAAAGATTACCTCTATGTTTCATAAGTGTACCAAGGCCTGTGTGGAAATTCCCCATGTGATTCACGCATTCAGGTGACAGCAGGTATTTGAAGTTTGCTGTCCTATCATCTGCTCTACAGTCCCAAGTGGGCCTTTAAAGGAACCTTGGGAAATATACAAGAGTTTTCCAGATTACAGTTAAACCCTGAAAAGTCAGTGGATTTTAAGGATATGGTTGTTTTTATATCTTTAATCTCAGGTCCAGTGGAAGAGCTGACAACTACAGCAATAACCTAAACAGCTATCCTGACACCTCTTTCCATGGGGCTAGAGTAGCCCTCTCCTGCTTGCTACCACTGTGCGCTCTCTCTCTCTCTCTCTCTCTCTCTCTCTCTCTCTCTCTCTCTCTCTCTCTCACACACACACACAGAGAGACACACACAGACACACACACACACACACACAGACACACACGCCCCAGGTCAATTCTGCCCTTTTATAGAAATGCTAATTTTCAAAGCTAATTAGCCAGTTAGGAGCTCTTTAGGTTAGGCCAGCAAACCACAGGCTGGAAAAGTCCTTGGGGTCCTGGGGCCTTGGCTGTTTTTACCCTGTGGACTGCTCAAAGGGCTCTTTCTTTGCAGCCAGAGACACTCCCTAGGGTAGGAGAGATGGGGTGTGTTGGAGGAGCTGTGTTAACTAAAAGACAAGGGGTTGATGGATTCTAGGTGCTTAAAAGTTCAGAAGGCCGTAACAAAATACCTGAGGCTAGGCACTTCATAAATAAAAGGTTTATTTAGCTCCTAGTTTTCAAGTGTTAAAGTCCAAGATCAGGTAGGCCCATCTGTCTAGCCTCTGATGAGATACCTCTGCCCTCCCCCACATACCCTCCCATATTACAACACAGCAGAGAAGCAGAAAGGGAACTGGCCGCATGCAGAAGTGGCCAAGTGTATGGGGTGGATTCTGAGGCCCCCATAACCTACTCATCTTCCATCAGGCCCCACCTCTTAAGGTTTCCACTGCCTCTTAATTATGTCACACTGGGGACTAAGCCACCAGCACATGAACCTTTGGAGGACATCCCAACCACAGTAGCCATCTTCTAAGAAGTGAGGATTTGGAGCCACTTTTCTGAATTCGCTTTTGCAAGGGTCCTGTGGTTGGTATACTAAATATCGAAACTCACCTTTTCCCCACTACAGCTGTTGCTGAGAAATTCCTGCCAAAAGACAGACTATATTTGCTTCCCAGATGTGCCCAACACCATGCATTCTACCAGATATGATAATTGATGCCCAGGGAAAAAGAACAAGCTTTAGAGGGAAGACCAACAAACCAGGTGATTCTGCCACTCACTATCTTGGTGGACACATCTTTTAATCTCTCTGGCCCTCAGCTTTCTTCTCTGTAATGTAGGGGTAATGATTCCAACTCATTAGTCCCCCTGAGAATTAAATGAGGCAGTGCATGTCAAGTGCCTCTAGTCCATTGCATGGCACACGGAAGGAGCCTCTAAATGACTCCCTTATTCAAGTATTAGGCAGTTCGGCGCAGCTCCAGGGCCAGAGTTCAAATCCTGACTCAAACATTGGCAGCATGACTGGGAAAACTACTCAGTCCAACAGTAACTCACTCAAAGAGCTACGTGAGGATGTGTTGATGCATGCAAAGCACTTAACTGACAAAGAGCATACTCAATCAATAAAGCTGTATGATCAAAATATATAGTAAATGCTTAAATTTAAAAATGTATTACAGTAAAAGACATATTGCCATTAATTCGCTTTAAAATATTCTCCCTCACTTCAAACACCCTTATCCCATCATACTTGCCAATTTCTGAAGCAGTTCTGAAAGTCCTCTTTTGTAAATGTCTTTATGAGGTTCAATAAAAAATATGGTGAGGACTGATGCCAAGTGCCATCCAAAGGGAAGGCAGGCTCATAAAAACATTACGGTGTGTCCTCATCCACCTTATTCACTGGATCTGACACCTTGCTACTTCTGGCTCTTCCCCAAAGTCAAAATGACTATGAAAGGGAAATGTTTTGAATCGAGGCAGCCACACCAACGCAAAACGCTCACAAAAGAGGAGTTCATGTGTGTTATGATTATTTATTCTCAGCATGCCTTCATTTATGTGACCATTCTGGACCAGGAAGCACCAGAGAATACAGTAAGTGACTTAAAGATCACATTAGTACAGATAATCATCAGGACCATTGGAGCTCAGGAGTGTGAAGGGTACTCATGGTTGTTTATCTGAAATGGACTGTGTATATGAATGACTAAGAGATTGTACTTACTTTCCTAAGCATTATGGGCAGATACAGTAGTAGTAGGCTCCGGGGCATTTAACCGATTTGTGGTAATTATGTATATAACTGTACAGTGCCAGGCACTGTGCTTTCTGCTGGGGACATAATAGTGAACGACTAGTAAAATCTCCCCAGGGGACTCTGACTATCAGCCAGGATAGAAAACCACCACCTGATGTTTGATTTGGAACAAGCTCTTGAGGTAAAGCTAACAGGACTGGGTCCCAACACACACTGTTCCCTGCCTCTCTCCTGTACTTTGTGTTTGAGAGCTGTATTTCCTACAATGCTAATAAATTCACACCCAGGAACAGGAGGAAACAGTGTGAGCAGAAAATAGCCTCCTCTTCCCTCCACCAGCCTATGCCCCACTGCCCTCCCCCAAGCTGACAAGGGATCGCCAAGGGAAGGCTTCTAACCCTCCCTGGACTCGACCAGCTGGGTTACAGCTACCCCACTGGGGCTGGTGCAGACAGACATGGCCCACCCTATGCCCCAGCACCCAGACAGGACACACTATGATAAGGGCCATTTGGCCAGCAGCTCCTGGGGGGATACTGCAGAGGCCCAACAGCCAGCAGAAATTTGCCCCAAGTATTGGTCCTGCCTGGAGGCAAAACAGTCGGTTGATGACAGCCTGATCTTGAGAAATCATTTTTTTAAAAATGGAGAAAAGTTGCTTAAAAGAAGCCCTTTAACTCAGAAGGTAGTCCTATCCACCTTACAAATTCAATGCCCTCTGAATCCACATCCATCTGTCGCAGCAGGGAATCTTTTAACTAGCAAAGGAGTAAGAGAGGGAATTCAGATCAACATCACTGACTCCAGCAATAAAACTGGTGCTGGTTCACCCCTTTTCCCCAGAGGCAAGAAAGAATCAAGGAAGAATTTCAAAATCTTTTTATACAATTAAAGAGAAGTAGCCGGTGGGGGAAGGGAGTGGGTACAGAGATGAAGAAGTTTAAGAACTGCTATTTTAAACTCAAAATAAATCATGATGGAAAGGGCCTAGAAGGTATCATTTTCAAGACCAAGATCTTATCTATGGCAAGAACTGATTCTGGTGTTTGAGGGAAGGGTGGGTGGGCAAACTGTCAGGCTAGCAGTCTTTTCACCCCCTCACCCAGTCGCCACAAGCAAACCAGAGTTTGGCACATGCTTCCAGAATTTAAAAATCTTGAATGTTAACTTTAAAATAATTCATAATCTACTATAAGGAAGCTCAGAGATCACCACTAATTATTACACAAGCAAGAAAATTCAGGGACATATCCAAGAACTGTACCCAAGGTGGCAGGACTAGAAAGAACCAGAAAATATGGTAAAGAGTCCAGCACCAGAGCACCAGAGATTATGCATCAAACCAGTAAAGACAGAGAAAGTCACATTATCTCCCCAAACTACTTTAGAATCTTTTTTTTTTTTTTTTTTTGGTACCAGGGATTGAACTCGGGTCCTTGCACTTGCGCAGCAGGTGGCGAAACCACTGAGCTAAATCCCTGGCCCTACTTTAGAATCTTTTACTGTCAACTGTTACTTTCTAGAAGTTCAAATTCTACAAGGGCAATTTCATGGTCTATACCTGTTAAGATTGTGGCTCTGCATCTAAGGCCCAGATCTGGGCTGGTTTAAACATTTCATTTCATCTGAGCAATGAACTTTGGCTGAACACCCCAGATTTTCTTTTTATCAAATCAGGGAGAAATGTGTATGTATGCTAATATATGTTAACACACATATGTTCAGAAAGTATATCTCCTCCTCCCGGCCTCTTTACCTATTTTAAGATTGAAGAGCTTATCATTCATACCACCAGATCTTTCTAAAACACAAAGTTAGAGATAAGTGTTGTAGGCGCAGCACACAGCATTCAGAACTAAACTGCAATGTCTGTTTGGTCTCTCTGTGAGATGCCCAAGTTCTCATTTTTGCAGACAAGGGTGGTTAAAGCCAGAGTCTTGTCGGAGGTGGGGAAACAACCTCCTTCTGCATGCACTTACTCTGGCTGAGGCTGGCAAGCACCACTGCCATGTATGGAAGTGGACGAGAACGCAGTAAAACCTCAGGCCTGAGTCTGGAAAGGGCTGGGGTGGGGGCCGGCATTCCTCACCGCAGAGCCTGACCCAGCCCAGGGCGGTGAACAACAGAAGCCCCTAGCCTGGGGTCCCAGGGACTCCATAGTGGAATGGCTACAAGGGCAGAAATCATAAGCAGCAGAAATACAAAGGGGACAGCACCCTCCAGAGATAGAGATGCTCAGGAAATAGAGACTCATCCACTCCAACAGTGTGTGCAGGAGGCAGAGCCTGAGCCAGGAAAGCCAGTGCCACACGGCTCATGTACACACTGATCTCAATCCCCTGGAATGCAGAATTCTCCACAATTTGCCATCCATCACCCAGGCTCCCTCAAAACCAGTACAAAAAAAAGGGTAGGTTTTTTGTTCAGTTTTGTTTTTTTAGTGATCTGAGAAACTCAAGACAGTTACCCATTTCTTGCCAGAGCAAATCTAAGGGTTGTCAGAAAGTTTTGTTCAGGCTGTGGGGGCTGGAATTAAACAGTTCGAGGTCAGAGTTTACCGGTGCACTAACTAAAGGGCTCTGACCTCAGTATTCACATCTGTAAAATGGGTACAACAACAAATAGGCTCCCTGTGGAGCTGCTGTCTGAAACCTGAAGTGCCATGCCTGGCACAAAGTAAACACAGTATAATGTTAAGTATTATAATTAATGAAGTATAGGGCCAGGGATTTAGCTCAGTGGTTTCGCCATCTGCTGTGCAAACACAAGGACCCAAGTTCGATCCCCGGTACCAAATAAAAAAATAAACAATAATAAGGTATAGAAATTTCTTAATGAAGATTTCTGCTACCTCTTTTAAACTGACAAATGTTCAGTTGTACTTTTCAGGCTTTTCTTATAGTTCATGTTCACACCTCTGCTTACCCCCTTCTCTGAAGCAGCTTTCCTTGGCCTCTTATCCTTTGCTGTCCTATCCCTCAGTCCCTACTAGTGCTTCTCAGAATTCTCCCATCAGGCCAACTCCTCTCTTCACAAACTCCCTCAGACTGTCATTCTCTCTCAGGGTTCCATCTGCTGATGACTCACAGATCCTTCTCAGGCATAAACCAACCTTTCTGCAGCTTCACTTGAGCAACTAGACAGCTCAACATCTCTTTCTGCTTTTACCTGCTCTCATGGTTTAATATAATTGTTCCCCAAAGATTCAAGTATTGAGGGCTTGGTCCCCAATGCAGCCATGTTCAGAGTTCATAGCAGAATGGGCTGTTAGGAGGTGGAGCCTCGTTGGAGGGAGCATAATCTGTAAGGGTATGTCTTGTTCCTGGCTCCTTCCTTCTCTACTTCCTGGATGCCATGAGATAAACAGCTTTGCTCCACCACATCCTTCTGCCATGAGGTGCTGCCTTATCTCAGGCCCACTGCATTGGAAACAGCTGAGTATGGATTGAAACCATGAGCCAAAATAAACCTTTCCTTCTTTAAGTTGCTTTCTCCAGTATTTTTGTCACAGTAATAGAAAGCTGACTAACACACTTGCCCTAACTGCCTCAAAAACTAACCCCTCCCTTAGCAACACTGGCTACATACTTCAGTGCCATTAATTCTTTCCTCTCTTACCTTTCAAAGCCAAGACATAGACATTAATCATAGACCCTAATATTTCTCAAACCTACTCCCTCCTTCCCATCAACATTCCCTGTCCCCTGGGGTAGCCCTCTTTGTCTCATCTTTCCCCTCTGGTTCAGTGCTGTTATACAGAAATCTATGCAATTTTAAATCCCTTTAATAGTTACACTAAAAATTGGAAAGAAACAGGTGAAATCAGTCTTAATATGATATTTTATTTAGCCCAATATTTTTCAAGATTATTATTTCAACATGTAATTGATATAAAAATTATTAATGACATTATTTCACATCTTATTTTCATACTACGTTTTGGTAACTGGTATACACTGAACACAGCATACCGCAATCAGGACCAGTCACATTTCAAAGGGCTCCACAGCCACATATGTACTACAAAGTAAACAATCATAATCTGATTAGTAGAATTTGAATGATTTAAAGTACTTTTCTTTTTGTAAATCTGTATTTTCTAATTTTTTTGTAATGACAAGATTAAAATAAGGGAGAAATAAAGTCACTTGCTGGAAAAGCAAGTCTCAAAACCATGTAATATTAAATTACAGAGGTTCTGAACATTTAGGATACTATTTCGGAGAAGTGGGTAGAGTTGACCCTAATCATTTGTGGATTCTACATTTATCAATTTGCCTACTTGCTAAAACGTACTTGTAACTCCAAAATTAATACTTGTGATGCTCATTGGCCATCCTTGGACCTGGGCAGAGTAGTAAAAAATCTGCATCACTCAATGCACAGGTTCCCAATTCAGGCTGAGCAAGGCAACACTCTTCTTTCAACTTTCACACTGTAAATGTCCCTTTCACGATCCATTTACTGTTAGGCTTTTCATTGGTGATTTATCTGTTTACGTCTAGTGTTTTTGAGTGCAAGAAGGCCTTAAGCAGAGGCCCTTAAGGAGAAAATATGCTTAAGTTTTGTTCAAATATAAGTTATACTGCTAGTGACTGTGAGCTCAGGTCCATATTAATGAATCAACTCTTTCTCTAAATATACATACACACAGACACACACACACAGATACACACACACACACATATGCTCATATACACGTACTCTTATGAAACAAGGTGTCATTAAATAGAAACACACATAAAACAAGGTTATGCACTGATCAGTTGATGAAAACATTTGAGCAGAAGAGGCTGGCAGGAACCTAACCTAACCCTGCATATCGCCTAGAGCCTAGGAGCAATGTGTCAGTATTTGCTAATTCAGTGTTTGGAATGACTTTATAGAACATAACCACCGTGAATAATAAGAATCAACTGTAGTTTGGCTTTATAGATGATAACTTGTAGGAAACCACAAGATAAAGAAGAAGAAAACTGGTGCAGTTTGGGTGTAATGCTGACCCCAGATCTCCCACTGAGCAGCAATGAGAGAAAATCCAGAGCCAGGCCCCTGCCTAAAGCCTATGTGTGGAACTTCTTTCACCGCAGAGCAAAGCTACAGGAAGAAGCACACGATGGAGCAAAGAAGCTGAAGGATTGGCTTTGGGGACTGACAGGGGAAAAAATCTGGTTCCACACCCTGAGCCAATTATGTAGACATTGAATTTAGTGTCCTTGTGTATAAATGAGGGCAATAAATAAAACAGTAAAAAATAAATAACTAAAGCAGTAGTCCCCACTTAAAAGTAGAGGATATGTTCAAAGATCCCAGTGGATGCCTAAAACCATAGACCCAAACCCTATATATGCATTTTTTTCTCATATGCCCTGCAGTATCACCACACAGTACCAGAGTTAATCTGTCCTAGTTTTATGCCATAATAACTTCTCTGCATCACTACTTTAGTGTTTGGGGACCATTATTAAGTAAAAGAGGGTTATTTGAACATAAGCATTGAGGTAGAGCAAAAGTGCATCTGATAGTCAAGAAAGCTACTAAGTGACTAATGGGCTGGTAGCACATACAGTCTATTCACATCCTGGGCAGCACAGGACAGCATGGGATTTCATCATGCTACCTGGAATACTTAAATCTTATGAATTATTTCTGGGATTTTCTTTTTCTTTTTTGTTTTTGTTTTGTTTTGAGACAGGGTCTCAGTTTGTAGTTTGGGCTGCTCTTCAACTCACTATGTAGCCCAGGCTGGGAATCCTCCTGCCTCAGCCTCCTAAGTGCTGGGATTACAAGCATGTACCATGACATCCATCCTGAATTTTCCATTTAGGGCTGGGGATTTAGCTCAGTGGTTCCGCCGCGTGCCTCGCAAGCACAAGGACCTGAGTTTGATCCCCGGTACCAAAAAAAAAAAAAAAGATCGGGAGCTGAATTTTCCATTTAATATTTTTGGACCGCAGTTGATCATAGGTAACTGAAACAATGCAAGGCAAAACTATGAATAAGAGGGCAGGCACTGTTGCACCTACTTCACAGATTGTTACGAGATCCAGTGAAGTAATACATGAATAGCATTCAACAGTGTGCTCCTTGGAGCCTAGTAAAGGCTCAAGAAACAAGCAGTTGTTGATGATATCAACACTCTAACCAGGGACCATCTTGGTAGCTCCCTAAAATAAAAATTATAAAACAGGACCCCATCACTACTACAACCATAAGCAGGACAAGAATACAGCACATCATGCCCTACCCAGTCCCCTAGGTACCAGCTCTAATGAATGCAAGAAAGGAATCAACTTTGTGTAAACTCATCCCACCCAACAATAAACCCATAAGAACTCTCCAGCTGGATACAACCTTATTAACCTACAAAGAGCTCAAACTATATTCTAATGAGTTGTCATGATCAACCCATAGAGAATTTGTATTCCCTGTTGCCCACTCTAAAAAGTCAAGGTGGAAAGAGATGATCATGCCTGCACATGGCTGCCACAAATGGTGTACAGGCACTGTGCTTGTACACGATGGTGTGGAGATCCAAGAATGGGCCTGTACATGGTTGCATGGAGTTGACTGTGTCTGTACACGGTAGAAGGAGATGACTGTGCATGGGCATGGTCACCTGGGGGGAAATGACTGTGTCTGCACATGGCTGCATGAAGATGACCACATATTACATGGTCATGTGGAAGGAGATGACCGTACATGTACACAGTCACCTGGAAGGAGATGACTGTGTGTGTACATGATTACATGGCTCTACAATGCATCTCCTCTCTGTAGAGCAAAGTGCAAATCACAACTCCAAGGAACCTGTGCTAGGCTTCAGAAAGTCTATGCAACTCCACCAAGATGATTCATCTGTAAGATCTGGCTTTAGAATTGATTCCCACTCCTAAGTTTTAGAACATCTAAATTCTCCCTCTAGTAAACCAACAGGTATGACCTAGTGGTTCCCCTTCCAAATCCTCAAGGCCCTGGCCAAGTATGTGCCCAAATTTTTGTTTTCCTCGTACTTGGGCTGCTGTCTTCCTGCTCAAGTTGGAATGACCTCCTCAAAGCAAGAGGACAAATTCCCGTGACCCCAGTGCCCAGGGCTGAGTGCCAAGGACTCATTCAGGTCACAGCTATTCCTCAACACATTATGGGAAGGACACTAAGTGCCTGGACAGGCTGTAGGATAATGGGCCTCCTCTCTCCTCCCCGATGATCCAACAGGAAAAAATACCGTGGCCACCAAGTCATCTGAATGGAATTTCTCTCCAACACTTAGGCACCCCGTCAGCCTGGACTCACAAAGTGAAGCACCTGGCTCTTTCTACGTTCCTGTCTTTACATTTCACATACTTCAACCCTGGTAATCCCTCCTTAAGAGCTCTGTGCTGTTGTCCAGTGAGGGAGCATGTTTGTTTTTGCAGCATGAGTTACAGCCACTTGAGGCCTTCCTCATAGGAGGTCTGACCGCGTCCCCGGCCTGACCCCAGCCCTTCCACAGGAAAACAGCTCTGCTCACAGGAACAGGCTCCTAGAACTAGGAAAGCATCCTGCTCTCTAGAGGCCAGGATACCTAAACTCACATGGGAAAAACAGAGCTGTGGCATTTCCCTCTTGTCAGCCATGCTTATCTCTCTCCTCTATGAGCAAAATTTGGCAATGTTTTATGGACACCGGTTGGACTTTTTTTTTAAGGACAACCGAAAGAATGCCAAGAAATGTCAGTAAGCTAGTAATAATGAGTCCCAGAACCCAAAGGCTGCCCAGTCATGTGGGCCTCAGTTTCCTCATCTGTAAAAGATGAGTTACTATATAACCATAAAAGATGATTATTATGTAATCCCTATCACCTTTTCCAGGGTAACAGTCAACAGCCATGCTGCCCAATATTATACAACAAGAGCATTTGTTTAATTATGATTGTAACACAAGTACACAGAAGAGTTTAGGCCTTTGTTTAACTTTGAGATTTGACTCGCCTTTATGCTTTGAATTCCATTTCTCTTTCCACCTAAGTCCTACCAGCCCTTCAAATCTCAGTCCAAACCATTTATTCTTTCTTTCAATAAATACTTGTGGCCAAATATTTATTCATAAGAGGTGCCAAATGTGTTAAGTAAAAAGGACACAATGATGAAGAGTACAGAGTTCCTGGCCTCAGGAAACTTTGCGATCCAGGGGAACAAAACAGCAATCACCATCTACATGCCAAGCACTATGTAAAGGGCTTTTTTTTTTATATTATTCATCACCTCAATCCTCCACAGCAACCCAGCAAGGAGGACTCCATCATCCTAATTTCTCACATGGGGAAATGAAGTTCAGATAGACTGAAATAACTTACCCAAGACCTCAAAGCTACAGAGTGGGAGACACGGATGGGAACTAGGTCATCCAGGAGAGGGTTGGCCTCTCAGGCCAAATGTGACCAGGTCAAAGGACTTTGTTCCCAGTGTTCCTTGCTGTTGACCCCACCCTACTAGAACCAATATATAAGACATCATGCAGTGAAGACTCTAAATTTATATATACATTTTATGCCTTATCTCCCCAGCTAAATTATAAATGCCTTCGACAGCCCAGCCTTTGCCATTTATTTCTTTGCATCCTAACACAGCCTGAGGCAAATGTGATGCTCAGGAAACATGTGACTGACTGAGGCCTGGCAGTACCCACACAAAGCAATGAAAAGCGCAGGCTCAAATTTTCATAATATGAGCACATACTAAGAAATGCAGTTTAGGAGCTTCCTAGTCCCTGTCACCACTTCCTCTCCATCCACACCATACAGTAGTAGAAAATTCCTAGAAAAACTTCCTTTCCTTTATTTAACAAACAGAAGCCATTAACCCAGAGCATCATCTTTATGCTCTAAGGAAGCCTATAGAAAATGCATTTTTGCAACCTGGCTCAGAATAAGATTCTTTGGTTTGAGTTTGGCCTCTCTGGTATAAAAAGCATCTGTTTCTTATCCTGTGGCACGTCTGGAATCCAAACCTTCTTTTTCATTCCAAATCCAAACCAGAGAAAAGCCACTATCACCTTGCAAACAGACCATTGCAATCTGCTTCTCAGACTCTTCCTGCATGAAATCACACCTCCAATCAGCATCACTTAAATCGACTTTTTTTGAGGATCTGCCAAAGGAATTTCTGCTTTCCTTTAAAAAGGTAAAAATGTTCCCATGCAGCCTCTGTCAGTCATTGGTTTTCAAACACACATCATCCCTTTCCATCCAGTACTTACTCTCTTCAGCAGGACCAAATAAACTCTCTCCTCAACTTTCTCCTTTATTCCCACATAGTTATTTATATCTGGAATATCTTTCTTTCTTAATCCACTGGACTACCTGCCCTCTCATTTGAAAAGGTCACTTTCAAGTTATTCTTTCCAGGAAGCTTTCTTCAAGCTCATGGCTGCAAGCTGGTGATTCTGCTGTGATCATTTGCTCACTAAGGCTCAATGATAAGCAAAGTTATTCATCTGCTAACTAGATCGAAACAGGGGAACAAAAACTCTACACTAAAACTACGCATCCAAAAAATGCAATGCAAGCTCTTTTAGGCGAGAACCTCAGTATTTTCTTCCTTTCTTTTTTTTTTTTCAGTACCAAGGACTGAACTCAGGACGTTGCGCTTGCAAGGCAGGCACAGTGCCACTGAGCTATATCCCTGGCCCTTGAGCCACAGTATTTTCTTCACATACACTGGTGTTTTGCTTTAAAAACTAATTATATTCAGAACATCTGGAAATCAGAGACCCACCACCCATAAATGCCACCATCCTAACATGATAATAAGCAATCTGGCATATTTACTTCAATCTTTCTTCTTATATATTTGTTGAATACAGTGCTGTAATCAGACAATGTGTGTAATTTGGGATCTTGCTTTTTTGAAAACAATACCTGAAGCACAGTTAGCTGTACATTCCAGAAAAGAACATTAACTCCATTTTTAATACCTGTTCAACATGATTCCAAGGTATTGTAACTAAACCATTTCATGACAGTTGAACACTTGGGGTATTTCCAATGTCTTGCTACTACTTACAGCTTTAAAGAATACTTTTATGAAAATAAAGTAAGATGATATAAGCATCATCAGTTTTGTTCTGAGCTACAGGATGCACATTTGATCTATATATGCGACTAATTCAGGAAATATTCTCACTTCTAAACTAACACTCTTTCCATTCTTAAACCAAATCCCCTTTTCAAGTTCACTGGATCACTGGAAAGTTCATCTTCCCTAATTTCTATTGTCTATGTATCTATTTAATAAATATTCCCAGAGCAACCCTTTAGTTTTTCATAAGTGATTTGCCTCTATGAACCTGCAACTGAATAAATAATAACCTTTGTCAGCTGCCTAATACAGAAAAAAAATAACAAATGTTCAGGGAAAAGAGGAAGAAGTTTGCATAATATTAGGTAAGAAGATTTTTACTGTAGCATTTGTGCAATTTTCTAAGCAAAAGATGCAGTTCTAAGGTTCTGGGGGGTGGGGAATTCTAAGTGGAAGAAATCATATTGTGAATACCTCTTGGGAGCTCACAATCCAGAACAATTGGTATAAAATAAAGATCCTTCTATAATGAAAACAAGAGCCTCTTCTTTATTTCATAACTTTGGATTTCAGGGCTAGCGTATTTTCTAAAATTACAGTACAC